AAATTAAAAAAAAAAAAAAAAGAAAGAAATTCAAAGCAAAATCCTCACAGGAAACTAAATGGCCCGAGCATTAATCAATTATTAACTTAACTTGACGTGTGATACTGCTAGATAGAACTTACTCTGTCAAGGTCTTCCTCAAACTAGTATGTGTACCTGTTGGACAGCTCTTTACCTCTGCAGGGTGATCAGAAGTTGTCCATGGTGTGCCCTCAGAGCGTGAATCCTCCTAGCAGAACACAAAGAGCAGCTCAGTCCCCCAGCACAGTACTGGTGCTATTTCTAGCAGTCTCTTTACTATTCATCTTAAGAAAGAATGAGCTGAAGCCACTGGGAAAAGAGAGGACTGCCACAGAGGAACTAAACATCCTTTCTCCTTCACAGGTATCTCCTCTCAGTAAGGAAGATGCTGGAGAATATGAGTGCCATGCATCCAATTCCCAAGGACAGGCTTCAGCATCGGCAAAAATTACAGTGGTTGATGCCTTACATGAAATACCAGTGAGAAAAGGTAAGTAACAAATCTTACAACCATTTAAAAAGAACTCGTGCTTTTGTTTAAAAAGGAGAGAACCAAGGCCCTTTAAAAAGGGCTAATGCTTTTGTTTAATAACAGAACTAAGAATGAAAACATCAGACATAGCTCTTACTGAAATTTGGATGTTCGTTATCCACAAAAGCATGCTACCAAAATGTAGAGCACGTGGCTGTAAAACAACATCTGGATGCCTATGGAACACTACTGTTAGGACTTAGGTGCTTCACCTTATCTTACATGTAAGAGTTAAAACTCAAATTTGAAGGGAATCACTTCTATTTCCCTTAACTTTCTATCCACGTGGCATTTTTTCCTTGGTGTTGTGACTATTACGTTAAACTTCCATTTAAAAGTAAACGATTGTGGGCAATTCTGGTTCTTCACTTTGAGATTTTATAAGAAAAAGCCAGAAGAGGAAGTATACTGACAAGTACCCAGCTCTAGCTGCCTCTATCCACTTCACCATCAATATCCTGGTGGCGTCAGAGTGGTGCTACTTTACATTTCCATAGTTCTAGTGGACTGATGTCCGAACTGGCTCTCTCTTAAACCAAAAATAACAAATTTATCAGCATCTGTCCCACCGTGCAGATCACTCACCTGTGGTATGGAAGGAGGAAGTATTAAGTGAGCATGGTTTGGCCAGAATTCTCTTTGGCCAAGATGTGTAAAGCGAGGTGATATCTCAGCTCTGCCACTAATCCTCCACCTGAAATTTTGAATGAAAGCCTCTCTAGCTCTCGACTTGCTCATTTGTGAAACGAACTCTTCCACTTCTATAGTAAGGCCCATCTCTTATGCATAGACCGGTACAACAAAAATCACAGCCCAAATTCCAAAGAGCATGCCACCATATCATTTATAGTTACTTATATATTCTTTATCCTCACATATATGGAAAACACTAAAGTACCTGAAAATTAGTTACAGATATGGATGTGGCTGACTTTCTAATTTTCATCTTTTTCTTTTTTCGAATAGGTGAAGGTGCTGACCTATAAACCTGCAGAATATATTAGTCTGCATCACTAACAGCAGTCCTGGATAACTACAGTCCTGGATACTTGCTGTAATAACCAGTGCTTGCCTAATAACCAGTTTCTTTTCATCCAACCCACTAACGCTTAGTTATATTCACTGGTTTTACATAGAGGAAAATCCAAAATAAAGGTAACACATCAAGACTATCTACAAAAATTTATTGTCTATTTACAGAAGAAAAACATGCATGTAATTAAAATCAATAAAATGCTTTCTCTCACAATGCAGTACATTGGGTTTTTTTTTGTTTTAAGCCATACTGTAAAAACAAGTATTTACAAGCATCTTGAGGCTTCTTTAAAACAGCTAGACGCTCATCATTCGAGGCGCAATACTCATAGACATAAGTTCCTGAAACAGCAGTTTGCACGCATAAGGCATTCGCACCAAAGAAATCTGGGGGAAAGAAAAAAAGGTAATTAGCAAAACTATATTTGAAGTGACCCCATTTACCTACCCCAGAAAAAATTGTAAGGGCTTGGTAGTGTAGAAATAAGGGAGTAGGCTGGTAGCATTCCTCCTGCTGCCTTGGCTTTTTCATGGTTTTCTCCTGAGCAGCTTTGGTATTTCAGCCTTTCTGTCAGACATATTTATATTCGCCCTTCTCAAAAGGTTTTTTTTTTTTTTTAAAAACTCCCTAATTTAAAATGTTTAAAATTCCTTGTACAAGTCATTTCCAAAAGATGATATACTGGTTTTTCTTGTTTTCTCACTTAAAACTTATGGAAGTATTAATCAAAATTGTGAAAATGTCCATCTGTTCCACCACACTGAACCTGCCTGGATGATTAGACCAACATGGTTATATCCTAGACAAAGTATCAACCGCCCGTAAGGTCTACACACCTGAGTTTTATTGCGACAGCCCCGACATTCATATGTATGGGTCCTCGTGTTAGCAATTGCCATTATTCCACAAAGATTGCAAACATGAACCTGATAGGGATCTGATGCCTCGAACAATCTTTCCCTTAAAAACTGGGCTGCTCCATGGGCAATCTGACAATCTCGTTCCATTTCTCCAAAACGCAGGCCACCATCACTGTTAAGGAACAAATAACAGATTATTTTGTACTTACTTTCTATTACTAACACCACCTTGACTTTCCAAATCCGTTTCTCCATGAATAAGTCTCCCAGGCAATCAAGCCTGAAATGATAAATGTATGTTGGCAAAACTAATGGAAAGAAGAGGTGAATGATCACAGGATTCCCCAATATGGAAGTAAAATGAAATACATTGTTCAAATGGCCAAAAAGTGGATGGTGACAGTTTCCCTAACACTCCTAATGTACAAAATACATAAAACCAATGATTTTCTAATATTACCAAAAAAACAATTTATCGGTCAACTTTGGAGGATGAAAGACAACTCATTATTTTGAAAACTGATAAAGAATGAAGCATTTATCATGCCTTTAGGAACTATGTCACCAGGTAACCAGTTGAAACAAGATTTCTCTCTACAGAACTATTCCAACTATTAAGTGACAAAATAAAATTAAGGGCTTCAATCATTAATAACTGCTAAAATCACTAAGAGACAACCAGATACTAGAAATCTACAATACCACCTATACAGTATTACTGCACAAGAATGCACCCCTTCATATCATCAAAGCTCAAGATCTAATTAGCAGTTTACAAGAAAAACAGGAATATACAGCCCAAGAATGGAATCAGCAAAATCCAGCGTGTGAGAAAACACTCCAGGACAAATAATCCAATTACTTCAACAAATAAACTGCAAGGAAAAAAAGCTGGAAGGCAATCTATAGACTTAAAAAAATAAAAGCTTTAGGGGCACGTGGGTGGCTCAGTGAGTTAAGTGACCGACTTTGGCTCAGGTCAATGATCCCACGGTTTGTGGGTTCGAGTCCCACATCGGGCTCTGGGCTGACAGCGTGGACACTGAAGCCTGCTTAGGATTCTGTGTCTCTCTCTCTCAAAAGTAAGCATTAAAAAAAAATTTTTTTTAGATCAATCAACTGCAAAGCACGGACTTCTCTCCTGATTAAAATTAACAAACCTTTTTAAAAATTATTCAATCGGGTAAATTTGAACATTGGACACTGAATATTGAGGTAGAGGTGACCCTTGAACAACACCTGAGTATGGGGCACTGATTCCCCCCCATAGTCAAAAATCATAGTCAAATAGAACTTCTGATTCTCAACACTTTACTAATAACCTGCTGACTGGAAGACTTACGAATAACAATTAGCACATATTTTACATATGTATTCTTATAATAAACCTAGAAGAAAAAAATGTTAAAGTATTTATAGTACTGCATCAAAATCCGTGCATAAGTAGGCCTGCACAGTTCAAACCTGTGTTGTTCAAGAGTCAACTAAATACTGCGATTAGGTTAGTGTTCTAATCTTTTCAAGTAGAAGTTGTCTGGGTGTGGCCTGTGGACCCAGTGAGGGTGAAAACTATTTTTATAATACAGCATATTTACTTCTTTCACTGTGTTGACATTTGCACTGAGACGGCTGCAAAAGAAACAGAGTAAAACTGCTGAACGCAAGTCCAGGCAGTGGAACCAAACGTACTAGCACTGTGAAGGGAGGAGGGAAAAGCCAGTTTTACTTAAGAATGTCATTAATGAAACTAAAGAGTTTTACTAAACCTTGACTTTTCAGAGTACACATTTTTAATATTCTATGACCTAATGGTAAGTTCTAAAGCACTTCTATACTGAGGATGCTTGAAGAAAAATACTTGCACGATTCTGAACTAATCACTTTTCCCACGGGAGTACATCTTGAAAAAAGAGCTGACAGCAATTATATTAATTCAACACTGAGAACACCAACTATTTGGCAGACATTTTTAGGAAAATGAACAAAGTAATATGCCTATCACTTAAAGGAAAATAATTTTAAATATCTGTTGAAAATGATTAAGCTTTTGATCTTTCAGTCAAAAATTAGAATTTTAGAAAACCTCTATTCAACATTATGGCTTTAATAGTGTCCCAATAAAAGACTTCTGATAACACTGGTGAAGCCACTACAAATGTGAACTATTTTTGGATAAATATGTCAACATAAGCCAGTATTTTCCAAACAGCCAATTATGGTGCTACAAAATTACACATGTGTGAAAGATACACTCAAAGTGCAAGACAAGCCAGTGGATTTTAATATAATGAATACAAAAGATTCACTGAGTTGGCTTCTACATTACAACTAGCCTTTAAGAAACTACAACTTTTCATTTTGGTGTAGCATCAAAACATAATATCCAAAGTCACCTGAAAATGTTATTAAAATATTCCTCCCTTTTCCAACCACGTATCTATGGGAAGTAGGATTTTCCTTGTATACTTAAATATAAAAAATAAAATACTGCAGTGGACTGAATGCAGAAGCAGACAGAAGAATCCTGCTGTCTTCTAGCAAATCAGCTCATTAAAAAGATTTGCAGAAAGGTAAACCAATGTCACTCATTACACTAAATTTATTTGGAAAATATATTTTCCATTAAAACCATTATTTGTTGGGGGCACCTGGGTGGCTCAATTGGTTGAGCATCTGACCCTTGATATCCGCTCAGGTCATGATCTCATGGTTCATGAGACTAAGCCTCAATGTCAGGCTCTGCACTAACAGCATGAAACCTGCTTAGGATTCTCTCTGCCTCTCTCTGCCCTTCCCCTACATGCACATGTGCAAATGTGAATGGCTCTTTCTCTCAAATACTTAAAAAATTAAAAAAATTGTAAATGTTATCTGTTAATATGTAGTGGGCTTATTAGTGTTATTTTTTAATAAATTAATATTCTTAGTTTTAACTTCTAACATGATTAACATCAATAAATACAACTTAAAAGTTCTTTGAGGTCCTGGAACCAAGAAATTTGAGAACCACTCTTTTGTAAATCTATGCTAAACTACATTTACAGAAAAAATTGGTATCTGGACTTTGCTTAAAAATAATCAGGAGTTGGTAGGAATGGGGAGATGAACGTAACAAATCCCACTGTTAATTATGGAAGTGGAGAGACAGGCACATGGGGGTTTCATTATACCATTGTGTCTATTTTTGTAAGTGACAGTTTTCATTTAAAAAGGCTAATTAATACTCAAGCCCTGCATCTGGCTCTGCGTTGACAGTGCGGGCTCTGCCCTGACAGTGCGGAGCCTGCTTGAGATTCTCCCTCTCTCTGCCCCTCCCCAACTTGCACTCTCTCTCTCAAAATAATTTTTTTAAAAATAATAACGATGGTCGGGGCGCCTGGGTGGCGCAGTCGGTTAAGCGTCCGACTTTAGCCAGGTCACGATCTCGCGGTCCGTGAGTTCGAGCCCCGCGTCGGGCTCTGGGCTGATGGCTCAGAGCCTGGAGCTGTTTCCGATCCTGTGTCTCCCTCTCTCTCTGCCCCTCCCCCGTTCATGCTCTGTCTCTCTCTGTCCCAAAAATAAATAAACGTTGGAAAAAAAAAAAAA